TTTCAAGATTTCCTTTTCTATTTTTTAATTTTTAATAGTTTTAATTCTCTATGTAAGGCGTGGGTCAGTATGATTCGAAATTCGTCCAATTCGGAGTGGTACAATCGATATCATCATTTTGATTTTTAAATGGTTCTCCATTTTGAATCCCTGTATCTCTTAGCGTTCTTTATGGAGGGCATTTGGGGCTTTCATTAATAACGTTTAATTCTTTAGGTCAATACATTTTTGTTGGATTTAAAATTTTGGGGAATCCATTTAGGATCATCAAATTTATTTTAGTAAAAAAATTTAAATTTTAAGTTGATCAATACTTAGACCTCACCCTTCAAAAATTGGAAGGTCCCTTTTCAGTATCAGTCTCAGGATGTTTTTTTTTTTTTTGGGCACATGGCGAATATGATGTAGAAGTTTTCTTTTTTGAAATTTGCCACTACATAAAGAGGGGTGTGGTTTCGATAGGGTTGCAACTTTAAACAATCCAACTAAGGTTCACCTTTAAATTTTATCATAATATATAATTTTGATGTAAAATGTTATTCGGATTATCTCAAAATCTATTTTTATATCTAATTATAAAATTTTAAATTTAAAAAATGGTTAAAATCAAATAGATCTATAAATATATGAAAATCTTGAAAATGGATGGTGTAAATAATATGTTGTAAGATGCACTATTTCTGATACTCAAAATCTTTTTATTTTTCATAGTCATACACCTCGATGTCGAGATGATCAATCTCAGGTTTTTCAACATTAAAATAACTTTTTTTGATGGATTTTTGTGGTACATCCATATTTCTACATTTTAAGGTTGGAACCTTATATAAACTTTTTCCAAATTTAGGATCTTGAAAAATCTTCTTAGCAGGGTTATTTAAGAAAAAAAAAAAAGAAAATAAATTAAGTCCCTTGTGCCCAAGGAGACACGGGCAAAGATCCGTGAGGGTGAAATAAAGAATTGATGAGATGTTATTGGCCCCTTCTCTATACGCCGCCTCATTGGAAACAACCAAAGAGAAATCCTGAAAACCGTTTATATTAAACTTAAGCCATTATAAAACGGGTGTAGTTTGTTTGGAGCCGAGGCTCTAAACAATTAAAGTAAAGCACACTTTCAAATAGTATCGAGAAATGTGGTTTCAATATTGAAAATCTTTGTGACAGTCTTAAAATATATTTTCATCTCTAAATATAAAATTTAAAGCTTCAAAATATTGACAATCCAAAAATGCATTACAAGATGCACTATTTTCAAAATTTGAAATCTATTTTTTTCTCATGTCCATCCATCTTAATATCGAGATGATCAATTTGAGGATATATTTCGGCATCAAAATAACCTCCTCTAGTGAAATTTTTGAGGTCCACTCTAATTTGAATGTTTAGAGCCTCGCACTTATATAAATTTTTCCCTTACAAAACTACCACGTGAATCCATGTTTATTTGAAATTTAAAATTTTTTAGATGCACTCTAATTTGATTGTTTAGAGCCTCGTTTCCCTTACAAAACTACCATGTGAATCCATTTTTATTTGGTGTGTATATCATACAAAACTACCATGTGAATCCATTTTTATTTGGTGTGTATATCATGTGCAGGCTAGAGAATATAGCTAATTCAGGGGCTTTCTTTTATGAGATTTTAAGATCCACCTAATAATTATTAGATATTATTAAAAGATAAATTTTGAATTCTTAATCATTTTCACCGAACATCCAGAAGTTGGATGGTCTTTGTTCTATCTCATAGGATTATATTTCTAGGGCACATAGAGAGTCCCTTTTGGATTTTCACTTTTTTTTTAGGACGGTCGCTGAGTTGAACAAATTCAAGGTCATAACAAAATTTCTAGCTTAGGTTTTACCCGATGGAGCAAATGGACTGTATGCTCCCCCAGGAGCATAAAATCATATGGAGTACATTACTTCGCTACTTCATAAAAGAAGCTAATGGGATATTTTTTTATAAAAAAAGTTCATATAAGGTCGCAACCTTAAAATGTAAAATTGAAGGTGCACCTCGAAAATCTATCATAAAAGATTGTTTGGATGTTGAAAAACCTTTTAATTGATCATCTCAACATCCAAGACGTATGAATATGAAAAGAAAAACAGATTTCGAGTCCATGAAATAGTGTATCCTGCAACACATTTTCTAAAGTGTCCATTTTTTAAGACTTTCACTTGTTTATAGATCTACTTGATTTGAACCATTTTTAGAGTTTAAAATTTTATAATTAGAGATGAAAATAAATTGTCAAGCTATTATACAAAATTTTTATATAAAAAATAAATATATTTACGATAGAATTTAGAGGTGCACCTTAATTGGATTGTAACATTAAACAATCCAATTAAGGCGCACCTCCAAATTTTATCATAACATGTAATTTTGGTGTAAAAAATTATTAGGATCATCTAAAAAACTATTTTTATATCTAGTTATAAAATTTTAAACTCCAAAAATAGTTAAAATCAAGTAGATCTATAAACATATGAAAATCTTAAAAATAGACGGTCTAGATAATGCATTGCAAGAAGCACTATTTTTGACACTCGAAATCTTTTTTTTTTCTCATATGCACACATCTCAATGGTGAGATGATTAGTTAGAGAGTTTTAACACATTAAAACAACTTTTTTCAATGGATTTTTTAGGTGTATCTTCATTTTTACATTTTAAGATTGCAACCTTATATAAACTTTTTTCTTTTTTTAGTTTTTATTTTTTATTCTTCGCGTCTCTCTGGTCATGCGGTACGCCACTTCCCTAGTCCCTAACCATGCATTGAAAGAGCAGAGGGGAATCTTTTATTTATTGTTCTTGTCTCTTCATGCACCGTGTATAGTGACAAGTAGAAATGAGGTTGAACACATTCCATCTCTCCTCATTTTTATAGTAAATGGATACAGCTTGGTTTCTTGGAGGCACAGCTCAAGCACTAGCCGCCTCACTACTGGTGGCGTGTGTCTTAATCAGAATTCTCCTCCATGGCACCGCCACCAAAGGGAAAATGCTGCCCGTGCCACCGAGGTGGCCGATTATCGGCCACCTCCACCTGCTCATGGGTGACAAGCCCCTTCACCTCGTTCTCGTGTCGCTCTCCAATCGCCATGGACTAATTTGTTAGAATTCAAGAGAGCATACAATGAAGTATGGAGAATGGACAGAGACGAAGAGAGAACACAACATTTACTCGTGTCGCTGTCTGATCGCCTATTAGAATTCGAGGGGGCAAACAATGAAGAGTGGAGAATGGGGAGAGAAGAAAAGAGAGCACAACATTTACATGGTTCAGGCCGAAACATTATGTACACGGATCCTAAGCCCAACTGGATACATCTTCACTATTTTAGATTATTATTTACATCAATAAGTACCTCTATATATAGAGGATAATCACATAATTAGATGAGATAAATATGATATGATAACTTGATGACTAAGTAACTTGTTATCTATCTTCTAGATACTTAACATTATCAAGAGATATATACCAATACATCCATAATGATGTATATCAATAAGAACCCTAAATATCTATTATCCCAACACTCTCTCTCAAACTCAAGATGTTTTAACACAAAATAGCTGGAGTTTGAATAATACTAAGTTGTCAAGAAAAAAAGAGTAGCGATCCAATCCATGATAAATTTCACTGGTTACCATAGTCTTCTAAGAAACAACCTTTCTTGGGCTCTCTACCCTCTTCCAGAGACTTTCTCTCTTTAGAGTATTCCAAGAAACAACCTTTTTTGGGCTCTCTACTTTTTTCTAGAGTTTTTTTTCTCTCTAAGGTTTTCTTCTTTGAAGATCTTTTCTCTTAGAGGCTTCTTTTCTTTCTAAAGGTTTTCTCTCTCTAAAAGAAAATGATATTTCTTTCTTTCTTCTTCGGAACATCCGTGATCGAGTAACGAAAAACTCGACGATCATCACACATGATGGAGCAACGAAAAAATCTATCATCAAACAGGATTGAGTAATGGAAAACTCAATCATCATTCAACAAGATTGAGTAACAAAACACTCAATCATTGAAACATAGGCATCTGAAGCAGACATGATCGAGTTCACAAGATGGAGTAACAAAAAGCCCCATCGTCAAACGGGATCACGTAACGAAAAACATGATCATCAACCAGGATCGAGAAATTCGATCATCAAACAGGATCACGTAACGGAAAACATGATCATCAAACAGGACCACGTAACAGAAAACATGACCATCAACCAGGATTGAGAAATTCGATCATCTTAGGTCTCTCTCTCTTCATAGTTTCGATAATTCGATCATCTTAGGTCTCTCTCTACCTAGTTTTGATCGTCTTATTCGAACCCTCGCATCACACGCCAGCGGGGCGCTGACTATTCGGTGCCTCATGACAAAATTGGTGCCTCACAATCCAATAATAGTTTCCTTCTCAAATCCTTTTACAAGAACTATTTCAAGAGAAATTGTGTCCTCCAAATTGCAAAAACCTTTTGCACCATACAAGAGAAACGTGGCCTCAAAATTGCAAGAACCTTTTGCACCATACAAGAGAAATCTTGTGCATCAGTTTGCAAACCCTCCATAGGCCAAAAACAAAACTCACGGTAAAAGCAAAAACTCACGGAACATGCACAGTGGCCTTGGCTTCAACTCGTTGACGAATCCACATGACATGGATTATGATCTAGAGTGATGAAGCAATTCTCGTTCAGCAATGAATTGCTATTGATAGATCGGCCTGGCTCTGATCGCACTCCGATCGCCATGGACTAATCATGAAGTTGCGGATGGGCCAGAAGCCAACACTGGTGGTTAGTGATGCGAACATAGCGAGGGAGTGCATCACCACCCACGACCGAGCCTTCGCCTCTCGCAGCATGGTGGCTGTGGGTAGGATTCTCGGTTTCAACCACACCTCGATTGCTTAGGCCCCCTACGGCCCCTTGTGGCGGGACCTACGCAAGGTCTGAACACTGGAGCTGTTATCATCTCATCGGCTTGAGATGCTCAGCCATGTCCGGGATGAAGAGACTGCGAATTGCATAAAGAGATTATGTAGTGTATGGGAAGCAAGCCAGAAGGACGGTCACAAGGTGCAAGTGGGCATCAGCTTGCACATGGTGGATATGGTGCTGGAAGTTATCAAAAGGATGGTTGGGGGAAGGAGCAGTTTGAGATTGGGTCTTGAAGAGGAGTTCAAGGAATTCGTAGAGGAGAAGTTCTATGTGACTGGCTTGCCGAACTTGGGTGACGTGTTGCCGGTGTTGGGTTGGATCGATTTATAGGGCTCCCAACGAGCCATGAAGAAATTGGCGGCGAAGTTAAATGTCATTTCTCAATTGTGGTTGGACAAGCAGCGACAGACGAGGCAAGGAGTGGCTGTAGATCGAGAGAAGGCTGTCGATTTCTTGGATGTGATGTTGTCCCTGTCGAGTGACCCACAGATCGCTTCGCTCTGTGAATCGACCCCCCACAGGAGGGATATGATAATCAAGGCCACACTCTTGGTTAGTCCTCTCCTTTTAACCTTGTATATGGTAATGAGTGTATGCTATGAAGTTCTGGTATAAAGCATGTCCCTGTAAAATTCGAATCATGGCCGTTGATTGGAGATCGATTCAGCTAACTATATTGCCTGGTTGGATGTAAGGTGATCGTATTTGCTGCAATGGACACTTCCGCGGTGACACTGAAATGGGCTCTGGTTTCTCTATTGAGCAATCCGGAGGCCATGAGGAAAGTTAAAGAGGAGCTCGACACAAAGATCGGAAAGGAAAGAAGGGTGGAGGAGGCCGACATAGCCAACCTCCCCAACCTACAGGCGATCATCAAGGAGACACTTAGGCTGTACCCACCCAGCCCACTCATTGTCACACATGAATCCATGGAGGACTGTGTCGTGGCTGGATTCCATGTGCCTGCCAGCACCATACTGATCATAAATGCATGGAAGATACAGAGGGACCCAAGTTGGTGGGAGCTTCGCCTGGAGTTTGAGCCAGAGAGGTTCATAGGAACGAGGTGGATGTGAAGGGGCAACATTTTGAGTTCTTACCATTTGGGGCCGGCCGGCGAGCATGTCCCGGCATGTCCCTCACCCTCTTGGTTGTGCATTTGGCCCTGGCCCGCCTCCTCCATAGCTTTGATTCGCACTTGCCTCTTGGTTGTTCTTCACTTGACATGACGGAGGCAATTGTCTCACCACCCCAACGGCCTCACCTTTGGAAGCTCTCATGGAACCTTGTCTCCCCCTTGAGTTACTGTGTAAGAATTGAATACCTCAAAGCTTCATGGAACCTTGTCTCCCCCTTGAGTTACTGTGTAAGAATTGAATACCTCAAAGCTTGTTTGTCTCATAGAAGCTATCCTTTTCCTTACTGCTTAGTAACTTGGAGACTATTCACTCATCTACTTGAGAAGTCAATAATCTGCTGAATAGAATTTCAAGAGAATTTCTTGTTATTCCTCACTATCAAATCTACATGTATGTCACCTCGTCTCTCTCTCTTTTGTATCTTTGAGTTACCTCTTAATACCACTTTTATGCATGGGATGTTATTAGGGTGAGGTTTGTATAACGCTAAGGCCCTAAACAATCAAAGTCAGGTACACTTTGAAATAGTGTCGAAAGATGTTATTCAATATAAAAAGATGTTATTCAATAAAAAAAACTTTCTAATAGTCTAAAAATTTATTTTCATCTCCGATTTTAAAATTTAAACCTTAAAAAATGGTGTAGATTAAGCAGATCGGTAAACATTTGAAAACCTTGAAAATTGACAATCTAGATAATATATTACAAGATGCACTATTTTCAAAACTTGAAATTCATATTTTTTGTCTTTCAAGATGATTGGATTTGAGGGTTTTTGACATCCAAACAACTTCTTTTATGATTTTTTGAGGTGCACCTTAGTTTGATTGTTTCAGGCCTTGACCGCATATAAACTTTTTCCACATTAATATGGTGTTGAATTATACGAGTCTTAAACATTAATCACAAAACCAGATGCATATCCGGCCAAGTTACTCAGGCTTAGGCCCTTGCCAAGCTCGAGTTGTGTGTCCAACCAGTTGCTATTAAAAAAACAATCATTAAAAATATTTTTTTAAAAAAATTAAATGTGATATGTTTTCATTTTTGCAAAAATTGAAAAAAAAAATTGGACATGCATAATTATTTTTATATTTTCCCATATTTTTTTAATTATTTTGAAAATATTTTCTGAATTAAATTTTTAAAGTCTATGTTTTTACTACATTTCTGAATTAAAATTTTAAAGTCAATGTTTTTTACTACTTGTTTACTCTATACATACATTTACTAGTTTTTTTTGGGGGATTTTTTATTTTTATAATTTTTTGACCTTTTTTTGCTGGTTTGGGCTAAGTCGTTCGGACTCAACCCGAATAATCGGCTCAGGAGAGCCCACATGATTACTCGGTCTGAGTCGCGCTTTCTAACACTGGTTTTGAGTCTTTTGACAGTCAATAAGTGGCTTTAGATTTCATAGGTGCTTCCAAGTAATTTGTTGAGAGTATGAACTATTTTCCTGGGGGAGAAAACTTGCCTTTAATCCCTCTACAAATTAGGATTTTCTTGATTTACGGTTTTGGGGACCACTTAAGGATGTCAAGACAAGTATTTTCCAAATGAAAAATGTTAATTTGCTTTTTCAATCCTTTACAAAGGCTTTTCATTTGAATTAATATAAAAAACCAGTCACCTCAATTTTTTAATTTGTCAAGGCCAACTTTTATAACATACTTGAAATCTTCTTGTTTATTCAGGCTTTCATGGTTTCCATGTAAAATTAACTACTTTCAATTTGATTTCTCTGTGTCTTGCTTGAGTTTTTCTAAAAAATAAAGCGGCACTCTAAGGAGGGAGAAAGAATCCACTCATTGTGAAGTCAGATGAATGTGTTCATGAAGTTAGAGAGAGAGAGAGAGGGGCGTGTTTTGGCATATGGGTCCATTGGATTAGGGGTGCGGAGGATGAAGAGGTGGTGAATATGAAGAGGTGGTGAATATCTAGTCAAGAGAAAGAGAGAGATAGAGAGGGAGAGAGAGAGGATAGGTGGAGATTGGCTCCAAGTTAAGCGTAACACAATCCAACCTTGAATGGAGCTCGATTCATTTCAAATAGGAACACATTTTTCTTAGATGGGGGCACGACTCAATTTAAATGGGATCCCGTTACTGTTGATCCTAATGAGCATGGGAACACGATCCCATTTTGCATGGAATGTGTTCCCGTTAAATAAAGACCTCGATCCCAATGTATAGGGAACACGCTCCCTGTTCATACGAGATCTCGATCTGTAACTTTTACCCTAACCGGATTCGCTCCTCGAGCTCCGGAGTTTTAGGCAGCCTTTTATCCGACGCTCCCGTTCCCGGTAACTATGGTTCCAACACACTAGGAATGCCTCTGGAGACATGGCGATCTGTAACTTTTACGCTCACCAGAACTCATTCTGGAGTTTTAGGCAGCTATTTATCCGACGCTCCCGCTCCCCGTAACTATGGTTCCAACACACTAGAAATGCCTCTGGTGAAATGGTTTTACAATCAATTATCAGACACAAAGATGAAAAGCTCATAGATTGTTCCCTGATCTACAAAAATAAGTCATCTACTAAACTATGGTGATTGAAGTTGGTGACCCACGAAAGAGGAAATATGATTTCAAAAAATTTAATTGCCTTTAAGTGATTGTGAGCTGTAAGCTCATTCATAAAAATCCATTTAATCAAATCTTGGGAGAATGGAACTCTAGATGTGATGTGACACCCTCCACCCTGACCACCTATGCCTAGCTCCTTTCGAGATGAATTGAGACGCATCCTACCGACTTAATACACGCGGATTGATATATAATCATCCTTTATATATGGTAAGACAATATTGATAATACATCTATGTAGAGTTGTAGATCTTTCTCAACTATGGGCAAGTATCACTTCTTCCTGGACCCCCAAAATAGAAGTTGTGCTTGTTATCGAAATGACCAGCATAGCAGGTGAGATCTGCATAATCGTATGTCACCCTGCGTACATCTTTGAAACCGCCACGTTCATTTGCGACCTGTATGTATTCGAAGGCCGCGCCTTTCGCATAACCCTCGTATCCGAAGTGCCCACTTCCCATCTTAGTGGCTGTGTGTCGACCTCCCTCCCTAAGATTCACTACTTCCCCTCCAAACTGAATCTTCGTGGCCACCTCCGACAAACCACCGTTTTCGAAAATGTTTACTGGCCAGTACCCCACTGGCTCGCCTCCGTATGTCAACCACCAATCACCATCTTTCCTGCTATCCTCTGTGTGTGTGTGAGAGAGAGAGAGTTAAAGCTGGGGCGTGATAGGGCATCATAAAAGATATTTCGACTTGATGATGATAGACACTTGTCAAAATGGATTTCTATGGCAATGGAATTTACATTACCTATACAAAATACTGGAAGTATATTTAAATTTTCAAAAATTTTGTATAGAAAAAAGTTTATATAAGATTGCAAGTGAGGTGTATTCGAAAAACCAAACAAAAAAGAGCCTTCCAAAATAAGAAAACCAAAATATAGTGCATCTTGTAACAAATTATCTAGACTGTCTGTTCACTTGTTTCTAGATTTACCGGATTTGCACTATTTTTTTAATTTAAATTTTATAATTGAAGTTGAACATGAATTTTCATGCCATTGTAAGGTTTCCGACACCAAAGCTATATCTTCTAGGAAAATTTAGACGTGTTGCATACTTGTACAGTATAAGGTGGACACCTTGTACAAATCGTGCGCTTATGTAAATGCAAGATAATGCATAAACCTCTAGATTACATTTTATGAGTTAAAAAACTTTACATTGGAATAAAGAGTTAGTCATTCAAAAGAGAAGAAATGTAACATCAAATGAAATGAGCACTCCGGATAAAAATGCCTCTTGTATTTGTTAGAAATTTTTACCTTTAAAATAGTTATCCACATGTATTTCACCTCCCCCTCGTAAGTGGAAAAACCATCAAATGTGGCTCCGAACCAATACTTGTTGCTTGTGTGGATGAAACCTGGACAAAGAAGGTTGTAACACCCTGTTGATTGATATCCATCTTTCTGTTGCGCATGAATGAATCCTTCATACAATAGTAAGAAGTCCTAAGTTAAAAACTAATCAAAATTTAGAAGAATGTACAGATAACTGCAACAATGATACTTACGGTCCAGTACGCAAAGAATCGTGTGTCGTAGTTTCCAAAGAGTCCTGGATTCACCTATGAATTTATAAAAACATTTTAATTATGTAACAAAAAAGAAAATCAAATGTAGTAGTGAGAAGAGATATGGGGACTTATAATCCCAATAAAGACATGACCCTTAATAAAATATAATAAATGACCATCATTCTTCTATCCGACCCTAGTGGAGAAACACAAAAATTATCTTTGTACAGTATATCTGATATCACATTAAACTAGTAGTTGTGGACCGTACCGACCACTCTGCTTGAATGGCATGTATTTGTGGACCATTGTCATTAATGGCCCAAAGTTTGGCTTCACTGAACTCATTAGAATTCTCAACGCCTGGTCTCCAAAGAGTGAGCTTTACTTTGCCTCCAAAGAGCCGTCCATACTCCATATCCTGATCACTCACGTATGCAACTCTACGCTGAAAATTTTGAACACAAGATTAGATCAAACAAATTATCAAAGTATACAAAAAATGAGCAGAATCAAAAAAAAAAAAATTGAAGGAGAAAATTACGTGGTTCTAATTCCTTGGAAATGAATTAAATCAATTAAAAACATGTGAACAATTAACAAAACGTTGTTTTGCATAACCGAGTATTAGCTAGGAATTTTGAATAATAGTTTATAGTTGATGATTTCATAATTCAGTTTACCCAATTTACTTTAACTTTTGATAATTATTCCCTCGAAATAAAGAAAAGAACAATAAACTAAAACATAACCGTGAATGCTATTCGAAAACTTATTTAAATCTCCAAACATTTCTGGAGTAAAAAAAGAAGAAGATAAAAATTAGATACTAGACATATCTCAACATTCGTTACAAAAAACCAAAAAGAGAGTATATCTTAATTTTAATAACCATTCATTACTTGAGGGCATATTATAAAGACGTAATTTATTAGAACGTGGGATAATTATTTTACTCACTATTTAAAAACCCATTATAGCTATTGGATAGTCCCCCATTGTCACGATCTGAAAATGTGTTTGGCATTCCAAAGAATTAAAAATAAATAAAAACACAAATTGACATGGTTTGGGTATCGCCTTGTTGTCTAACCTAAATCACATATTCTACTTGATAGCGTCGCCAAGGTTACTCACATAACCGGGAAATTCCCACCAAATCAGACCGATTCGCTGTAAAGGAACAGGATTTGTTCTCCATAGAATCCAATATCGTTTATAATTTCAATCCAGGTCAATGATTTTTAAAACGGAAATTTATCGAAATACACCCATAGAAGATCAATTATTTAACATTTTACCCAATTGTAACTATTCCAACTCAACTCATGATTGGGTTACCCAAGTGTAACAGAGAATAGGGTTGGAGGTAGCATTACTTGTACCTTAGCTAAGATATAGGCTTCCATTCTCACCTAACGTTTTAAAAAATCACTAATGATTTAGAAAACGGTTGGGGCTTGTCATCCCCATTGAATTGCCTATTAAAACCAAAAAAGGGCTCAAGCACCTTTTAATGATTTATATTGAACCAGCCTCATTCAAGAGCCAAAATTAATATTTTTTTATTTTTATTTTTTATTGAAAACAATATTACCTGAAATTTGGGTTTTTACTACATTTTACAAGTACAATTGAATGAAGGTAATGAAAAATATTTTGAATAAAAAATATTGATCAAAATAAATTTTGGGCTACTTTGGTCATTTTTAATATAAATTTTTTTAAATTGCCTTTAGTTAGCTTTCTTTATGGAAATAAAACTAGACCTTTAAATTCAAATAAATAAATTATTTAAGTAAAGATAAAAAAAATATGAAATTAACTTTTGGCCATTAGATTGGCCTTTGTCAAATCTCAAAACTTGGAAGGGTGCACAACCCATCCACAATGTGGAGGTGATACTCTTCTCTTATAATCATGATCGTATATCTTTTGATAGGTATTTTAAAATGGAAAAAGTTTATATAAGGTTGGAACTTTAAAATATAGAATTACAGATGCACCTCAAAAATCTATCGGAGAGGTTGGTTTAATATTGAAAATCCCTCTAATCGATCATCTCAACATTGAGATGTATGAATAAGAAAAAAAAAAGGTTTGAGTCGCATATATATTACATCTTGCAACGCATTATCTAGACCGTCCATTTTCAAGTTTTTCATATTTTCATAGATCTACTTGATTTTAACCATTTTTAGAGTTTTAATTTTCTAATTAAATATGAAAATAGATTTTAAAATAATCTTAATATTTTTTTACAACAAAATTACATGGTATGATAAAATTTGAAGGTGCGCCTTCAATGGATTGTTTAAGGTTGCAACCCTTATAGAAACCACACCCTTTTAAAATTACATCAAATCAAAGATTGTAAAAGATGTTCCACTAGAATATTCTTGTTATTTCTTCTACTCATATTCCCTAAAAGGAACATGTCACTTTAATATATAGTTATAATATTAAGTAGTTGAACTTTCATGGTATTCAGATAAATTGCCCTTTTTAAAACTTTGATTTTACTTAAAAGCCCTCAGGCTGTTGAAATCCGTTGTTTAAGGTATTTCAGCGCTATATTCTAGAACATAAATATTTATTACTACTACTTCAGCCTATAGCATAGTCAGAAGAGAGAAAATAAATGGACAAAAGAAATGAATCTTTTATGGCACCTCTATAGCATTTTGGTTACGCTGGTCTGCATCAGGAGAGAAATTGTGATTGGGGCTTTTCTTCACAAAACTTGTGATTGGGTTGGCTCTGAGAATATCATCTTTTCCAACCCTAAGTATTGGAACCGATCCTTGTGGGCAAACTTCATTTTCTTTCCACATTTGTGAAAGTGAACCATTGTCTTTCCCCTCTTTCATAAATGCAGCTGGAGAAAAGCTCGGCCTCATCTGCATCATAGTTTAAAGTTATAAGAACATAGAAATTATCAAACACGAAGCAAACTGAATCTAGGAGGAAAATCTGATTACCAGCCGGGAAACAAGCTCGACCTGGAAGCCCAAGGCCTAGACCAGTCCATTAGCAGCCTTATTTGAAAGGATGAGGATAGAGAATTGTCAATAACATGCCCTATTCTTAAAAATCTAAATAGTATGGGTGTCGATCGAGTGAGAGGCTCTTCCACTGATCAAAATTAGGCAACGCCTCCTCCAGATAACATGGTAGCAAAGGTCACTGTGCTGCGATGCTTGTATTGCACAGATAAAATGATAAAGAAATGGATCGTTTTCGCTAGGTCGACTGCATTTTGCCAGAGAGGATATTGCACAGATAAAATGATAAAGAAATGGATCATTTTCGCTAGGTCGGCTTCATTTGCCAAAGAAAAGTATAAAGTAAACTCCAGACCTCTCTTATTCTCATTAGTTAGCCAATGGCTTTGTCGACAAAGGATGTCAAATTTGTAAAAAAATTGAAAGAAAAAGACCTGAGTCGTGTGGTTCTTCAAAAGAGGGTGATCAAATGCGGGCTGCTTATAGATATCAACACAATCAATCACATCCCCATTCTTTGCCTGCAAATACATACTTTTATCATTCATCATGTTATTTGTAAAAAATTACCTTTTCACTCAGAGAAATGGAGTTACAAAAACAAGAATATAACCTGAAAAGTTTTAATGGCTGGCTTATTCAAAAGCTTCAATTGTGCCTCCACTTCTAAGTCTTTTTCCATGGTACCTCTTCCTCCTTCAACCCCATGGAAGATTAATAATGTGACAAATGCCAAAATTCGAAGATGGGGTTTGAATATTTCCCACATATTGTACAGTCTTTCTCCTTAGATTACTATATGTGACGTTAAAAAAAGAGGGAAAATGGATAGAAGAAAGGGGAAATGGATATAACCAAAGAATTCACCAATGAAGTTCAAATTATGGAGGTCTCAGTCCTCTACGTCATGTCCTCATACTAATAGAATTTGGGATGCTCACCAAGTGCGCTGCCAATTTAAGTTGTGCTAATCTTCTTTTTCAAGCAAGATACCATTTTAAGAAGATTTTAAAAATATACAGGATTACATCATAAATCACCATTATATTATTACTTAAACTAGGAGATTCATTGTCATATTTCAATTATACGAGGAAGGGGACAGTTTACATAAAAAATCACCATTATATGATTACTTAAACTAGGAGATTCATTGTCATATTTCATTTATACGAGGAAGGGGACAGTTGTCAGATGGCTCTTTTTTTTTTAGCTGCTTCCATGTACTTACCCTTTAATTTGTGTGTTTTTTATCATTCAATTTCCACTTTCGGCTTTCCTTTTTTTCGTGTTCTCTCTCTCTCTCTTAACCGTCGACCGTCCCCAGCATCAAGGGGAGGATTTCTGGCCACGGTACCATAATTCCAACAAGATTAAATTAGGAGAGTTTTTTTTTTCATTTTTACAGTTTTTGAGAAATTTGCAAGCTTAGATTTGAAAGTAGGGTCTTTCCAATGAGAAGTTGCATTGTTATGTTTTATGTTGCAATTGAAAAGGAGATGATTAGGGTTTCTAGATTTTAAAATACCACCACAAAAAACAACAATTACAAATTATTAGAGAAAATAAACCATATCATGAATTTCTTGTTTCGACATATTCAGGTTTTTTGTTTGAAATCTAACGGAAAATGAATGGTTTGTTTTTTATGTTTTCATTTGTACATGTAAATTATTTTAAATTTTAGTTATTCACTGATGTGTCATGCTCAATTTGTAATACCTCCTACAAAATTACCAAAAATCTCTTAACATCATGAATTAATATAAAGCAAACCTTAAAATTAGTTTTCTTGACATATGTGGGTTCTTTTTTTCTTTCCTGATATCTAACGATAATCGGTAGTTTGTTTATGGCTTAGTTACTGCTCTTTGGGTTGCATTCCATTGAATATCATATATGAAGTTATGTGCTTTATTCTTGGAAAAAAGTGATTCTTATTTCCGAACCTTTCCTTCTGGTGTACTTGAATCCAGGATATGCTTGCATTGTTGATTTTTTTCTTCTCATAATTGTGTGTATTGCTTCAAACTTATATTTTTAAGATATAGATGATACCAAGGCATTTTGTAATTCTATCTCTTTATTCGGAATTTAGTGTTTGAGATATCACGTCACACCAATGAAATAGTGAGGAAGGGACATAGGACGAGGTTCTATTGTACTTGAAAGACAAATATGTCTCAGAATTAGTGTTGTAAGGAAAGGAAAAGAAAATTCTCGTTTATATCAGTTTTAGATTAGATCATTTACGCAATTGAATTTCACATTGTGTGCATCACGTTGCCGATGAATATAATTTATTATTATTATTTTTAATCACCTTTTTTTGCTTTGGCAAAAAAATCACTTACAGATGATCTTATTACAATCAATAAATATTTCAAAATAAAAGCAACTTAACAATAAAATAAACCTCAACCACTTGATGTCATTTATACAACTAAACACAACGCTTGACAATAAAAATAAATTTGCATGAAATAAAAGAAGATGTCGGAGATTACCTCAACCGGGCTTATTACACTTTATACCGAGCCACCAACATCCGATGGTGTGGGATCAACAGTCTAGCTCCTGTATGACACTCTCTTCATGGCTCCTATATCTATGTCTTCAGTAGAACACATTTTATTACTAAGTTTCGTCTTTTTGTCAATTGAGGTAGACATGGGCTTACATGTACTCATATCAAACTTTTCCAGTATCCTCTTATAGTAGGTTGCCTGGAAAGGTTGGATAGTCTTCTCTCTCATGTTTCTTATTATCTTGATGCCCAACACATATGAAGCTTCTCCAAGTTCCTTCATATCGAAGTGTTGTGCAAGGAAATTTTTCGTCCTACTACTAGGAAAATTGAGCTGCTAACAATTAGCATATCATCAACATATAATGATATAAATACCACATCACTCACACTGGCCCTTTGATATATGCAATAATCCTCATTATTTGTAGAGAACCCTGCAAGAGCAATGATCTCTTGAAATTTTATGTACCAGTGTCGTGATGCTTGTTTCAGGCCATAAAGAGATTTATTAAGTTTCCATATCAGGTTCTCTTTCCCTTTCTCCTCAAATCCCTCAGGTTGGGTCATGTAAATTTATTCTTCTAAGTCCCCATTTAGAAAAGTTGTTTTGACATCCATTTAATGAACCTTAAAGTCAAAATGGGCTACTATAGCTATAAGGATTCAGATGGATGGAAATTTGGCAACAAGGGAAAAAATTTTCTCATAATTTATCTATTCTTTCTGGGTGAAACCCTTTGCAACCAACCTTGCTTTGTATCTTTTTACTTTCCCTTCAGAGTTCAACTTTTTCTTGAAAATCCACTTACAACCAATGGCTTTACGTTTTCGATGTAGAAGTATTAATTCCTACACACAGTTTTAGTTAATGGAAGCATACTCATCTTTCATGGCTTCTACCCAACATTCCCTTTCAGGATAGGACAAGACTTCATGGTAGGTTTTAGGCTCAAGATCTGGATCTGGATCTTCCTCAACTCTATCAAAAATTTCCCTAAGGTAGATAAATTCTTTTAAGTACAGAGGTGGTCTACTGACTCGGTTACTTTGTCTTGGTTCGGGTAACAGTTCACTATCTTTAAGGGGTTCAGGTTCAGGTTGGGATTGTTTCGAAGTTTCAGGTTCAGGTTCTCGAACCGCATCCTTATTTTTCGCCTCCTCAAAGAAGTCAGCTTGTTTTCTACTCACCCTTGCTTCAAGGAATTCTTCCTCCAAGAAGTGAGCATCGCGGCTCTCAATGACCGCTCATGTTTCAAGGTTGTAGAATCAATATCCCTTACTATGATTTGGGTAGCCAATGAAAATGCATTTGACAGTCTTGAGTTGCAATTTGGTTCTATTTTGATGTGGGATAAGGACATGGGCTGAGCAACCCCAAACTTTCAGGTGATCAAGGGAGGGAGTATAACCTGTGAAAATTTCGTGAAGAGTAAGTGCGACAGCTTTTGTGTGAGAGTTCGATTAAGGATGCAGTATGCCGTCAGTACGGCTTTTCCTCAAAAGTCTAAAGAGAGATTTGCAAACCCCATCATACTCCTTACCATTTTAACTATGGTCTTATTTCGTCTCTCAGCTACACCATTTTGTTTGGGAGTATAAGGCACAATGTATTGATGGATAATTCTATTTTCAACGTAAAGTTCTTTGAAAATGTCAGATGAATATTTCCCTCCTCTATCAGTTCTAAGGACTTCTACTTTCAGGTTGGTTTGATTCTCTACCTCGGCCTTATATTCTTTGAATTTTTTTAGGGCTTCTGATTTTATATGAATAAGGTACACATGGCCATATCGTGAGTGGTCATCTATAGAGTGATGAAATATATTTTTCTACTTTTGGTGGTCACATTCATAGGTCCGCTTATGCCACTATGAATGATTTTTAATACGCTAGTAGCTCTTTTTGCACTGGTGGTATTTTTTCTTATTAATTTTTCTTGCACATAAGATTCGCATACTTTCGATAAATCTCCCTTGGAATTTTGAAGAATGTCGTCCTTTTTCAATTTTTTCATTCATTTGATATTAATGTGTCCTAACTTCATATGCCATAGGGCAGCATCTAATTCATTAGGGGATGAGACATAAGCAACGTTATCTTATATTTCAATAGTAAATAGCCCATCTACAAGTCGTCCAGTCATGATCACATGACTACTAGTTTCTCCCCAATGAAAGTGGTCATGAATCCAGCCATAGACATCTTAGGAACCGAAACCAAACATTTTCTCATATCAGAAGCATAAAGTGTTTGTTTTAGAATCATGTTGCTCTCACTTTTCAATTTCAACTCAAAATCTCCAACTCCAAGTACATCAGTCATCTGATTTTCTCCCATATAAATATGTTGCTACCCTGACCTCATGGGAGTGAAGAACAGAAACCTTCATTGGTGTTTGTGACATGGGCGATAGCCCCCGAGTCAACCAGCATAGACTCAAAGACCACACTTGTCAATTCTTTGTTGGTCCCTTCAGATTTGTTGAACCGACAACTATTGGCTTTGTGGCTCACCTTCTTGCAAATAAAAGAGGTTAGAGTCTCTCTTTTTGCTCCCTTATTTCCAAAATCTCTCTTTTTGAAATCTCTTCTCTTCTCAAAATAATTTTTTCTTAAATTTAAAAGATGGTGGAGATTTTACCATATACACGGCTTCCCTTGGAGTTGTTGTCAGTGCTTACCTTAAATTTTTCCTCTCCTCTTCTACTTTGATTGTAGTGATTAGCTCTTCCAGTTTTGGTTCCTTCTGGTCAAGATGGAAGATACGAAGGTCTCCCATGAATTAAAAAGTAAATTCATGAGGTGAATCACTTGCATAGATTCATTGGGCTTCATGCCTGTGTCTGTTAACTCTCTGACTAGCGCACGAAAGACATGCACATGATCTACAAACTTGATACCTTCTGTCATTTTTAACTCATTATACCTCCTCATAGTCATAGTTTGTTTCATGAGAGAGGGTTCAACATATTCTCTTTCAAGTCTATCAAAAATCTCACTTGCAGTATAATTTGACTCGTACTCAGAAGCATACGAGTCAGTCATGGCACATAAAAGAATGTGTTTGCATATCAGGTTCATCCTCTTCCAACTGGCATAGTCATCTTTAATTTCTTGAGATGAGTCATCAATTGGACAACGAGGTCGGTCCTC